ACCCCTGTTATCTCTAGTCTAGTGGACTTGAGCAAATGAAATGCTGTGGGTAGTAAATTGTATGGGGAGGACAACTCAATGAGTCGAGTATGAACTCAATAAATGCATAGGAAAATGGTGTGCCATAGTAGCAGTGTCTTCTCCATTTTTCATATTTTACCCTGAAGTGGAAACAAGTTGTTGTGGTTATTTAAAAACAAAACCAAAAACCCTACAACTTGATTTAGGGTCAGGAGTACAATTTTGCTTATGCATGGACAAATGCTGATGTGACTTCAGAAAATAATTGCTAAGGGACAATAGTTTTTTGTTTTAGAAGGGGAAGTAAATGGGAGAGGATTTATCCCACAGAAAACCTGGAACCAGGGCAGTGAAAAAGGGTAGGGACAGTGAACTGGGAAGGGTCTTTGACTTGTTCATAGGTGACTTCTGTCACTAAATTTAACCAAAATGACAGGACTTTCATGGTCATTAAAAGACATGGAGTTTTAGGAGGTTAATTACCACTGTGTTTGTAAAATGGGGCATAGATTCATTGTGTCAGGCCTTCTCTCATGATTTAGTAGGATAAACATGCCTGGTAAGCAATGTGTTTACTCTGGGTGTATGGGTTGGGGATTTTTCCATTTTGTCTTCTGAGTTTTCTAGAATAATGCAGTATGTAAGATGATTTTCAGGTGTCCTGTGTACAAGTATTAATGATTTTGTAAATAGTGTCAGATTTTTAATTGGTTTGGCTGTGCTGGCATCCCTGTGCTAGGAAAATCCTGATGCAGATAGAGCCTAAATCACTTGGGCACTTGGGGCATCTTACCCAGAAGAGGTAGGAATGAATGTTACAACTGTGGGATTTTTAAATTGATGCACTTTATTAATTGGAATGATTAGAGAACATCACTCTAATCCAGTGAAATCCTGGAAAAACTAATAAAGTTAGAGCATGCAGTGTTGAGAGTGCCTTCGCGACTCAGTTAAATTGCAGTGCTAATTAGCAATTGTCTTTCTGCTGCATTTCATCACAGGTATTATTAGTAGACAATACCTGTTGCTTTTATTTGTAGATGTATCTGTCTTGGTCTTTCTGATCACAAACATTCAGTCAGACAGATCCAGGGAGAGGCCTGTGCAAAGTGAACAGTGAGAACATTAGAAAATGTTGTAAGGGAGCAGTTAACTCAAATTGCACTTTCTTTGGGCTATAACAGTACAGAAGGAAGTTTTGTCTTCCTCTGGGAATGTTAAAACTTGCTTTTGTAATAGCTATGTAAAGGTTGGAACAAGCAAGACAGTTTTGAGTTTACAGCTATGTCATCTAATCATATTCAAAAATCAGTTTGCTTTCTGCAAGCAACAAATGCCCTGTTATCTACAGTCCCTTCAGAACTAAGTGCTTAAAACAGGCAATACTTTTGTCCAGTAACTCCTGCTTTGTAGACTTTTTGCCAGTTATTTGCTAAACACTCCAAGTGCGCACTCTGATGTTTACTAATCCGTTGGTAGGTTTGCTGAGGAGGCACAGAGGCAGAAATGGGCATGTGTATTCAGCATGGAATGTCTCTTTCCAGCCTTTCTATGTTAAACGTGCCTTGCAGGTAACAGAAGGTAAAAATGCTCCAAAGGGCTTTGGAAGCCCACCTGTGGTCCAAAGAATGACCTCACCAGCCAGAATATGTACCATCAAATAGCTCTTCCCAAGAGAGGAGAGGAACTTTTGGCATGACTCATTAGTTCCTTTTTCTGCTTGCAGTCTGTATCAATCCAGCTATATTTAAGTGAGCTTCAGTAGATTAGTCTTCAAATTGTCAGGAACTGAGATTTCCTGCCTTTCTGAGAAAGGAAGAATGAAATTTGGCAGTATGTATTATTGAGTCCTGCTTAAAACATGGATTTGCAAAGGGCCTCTGATAGAATGTCATGTAAATCCCTCCCCGCCATCTTCTGCTGCTTTTGCCATGAGGGATGAGTTCATGTGCCAGCTGATTGTGTCTTCTCTTCATTACTCAGTCACACAAGAGGGGTGTGTCCTAAAAACCACTATCCTTCATTGGTATTCCAGACCTTAAGGTTTTCAACTGTGTTCTCCTTGAGCAATAAGCATATGTTGTCGATTTGCACTATTGTATTCGTTAAATACATTTTTTGAGCTTTCACTGTATTACTAGAAGCTTCCAGTAGCTTTTCAGAAGCTATTCAAAGCTTCTAAAGTTTTATCTATGATTGGTTACAGCTCTTCTCAGTAGTAGTACTTTCCTGTTTACTCTGTAGGTTAACAATACAGAGGGGAAAGCAAGGAATGGTAAGAGGAGTGCAATTTTATTTCAAGTACAGTTTAAATGTGAAGAATGCTCTGAAAATACTGTGTAATTTAAATCAGTGTCCTTAGAGCTCTTCTGATTTTTCTTCGTTTGTTTTTGTGAATTCCAAAAGTTGTTAAATCAAAACTGCACGTGTTTGTGGTTATTTTGTATTCATTTAGAGTGGGTGAGTTATTTGTAGGCATCAGCCCTAGGTTTCTAATCCCAAACAGAGCTCTGTGGCCTGAGTTGATAATCCCTAACTGAATACTGAGTAACTGGTGTCAGGCATGCTGGCCAAGGTAAGACCTCTTTACATTGGTCCACTGTAGGTGAAGGCATAGGTTACAATTCACACAAGTGTGAATTCTCTAGTGGCAAATAATGAAATGCCTGATACAATTAATTTTAGGAATTGTGTTAAAGTACAGAAAAAACCAATTCTACTTAAAGGGCTTGTGTGCATTATGCATTAGTGCATTTCCACCCTGTATACCAAATGTTTTGTTTTCAATGGCTTTGGTGTTGTGAAGGATAACCCCGACTATTTTCCAGGTAGATGAAGTAATTGATCTGTCTGGTAGTGTAGAAGTACAGCTTGGATGCTATGGTAATTGGTTGCAAGTGCATTCTGTGAAACTGAGAGGGTATATGAGAAGAACATGATGTCAAGTATTCTTCACAGGAATTTTGATGATGGAAGGAAGAATATTCATTTTTGTCTGAACCACCACCCAGTTCTCCAGTTCCTCTATTTTGTGAGGGGATATGCAATATTAACATGGGGAGGACCATTAAGAGTCCTGTGCATTAGGTAGATTGTGTTGCATTATGTGCAGCCATATATGAAATGAGTCTTACACATGTTATATTTTCAGTATTTATCTTAGTTACTCTGTAAATATAGATGTCTTAAAGATTGCAGTTTCTGGGCCTCATTTGGACACCGCTTGCTGAATGTCTGAGATATGGATCCTCTTTTATCACTGATAGTGTCCTTTATAGTTTTTTTCTTTTAAAAATAAAGTATAGCTAAAATCTTAGGGAAAAAGGTTTTTTTAAAAACAACCATGATAAGGATTAAAAGCAGAGACACAAATACAAAGCTAACTACTTAGGAGCTTTGTTTTTTGTCCTGTATTTGCAAATTTTTGTTTCTTTATTCAGCAGATTTAATTTCTTTCTTGTTTCATTTCAGCATAAAAATAAACCACATGTGGTGACCTTAGCTAGGAGCCACTCCATTTCCTCAGCAGCTGCTGTTCCACGCTGCTTGTCTGACAGACGGGGCGAGGTCATGCTTTCCAGAGGACACCCTTGTGGTCATAACCAAGTTGTAAATGTCACTAAGATTGTTTCTGGATGCCTATCACAAGTGTATCGGCCATTCTGAAGCAGATGAAGTCAGCCAAAGATTCAGTGGGGAGCTGGGTCTCGGGAAGGATTGCTGTGCAGCCCAGCAGCAGCAGGAGTGTGACACGCATCCATAAGCAGCAGCAGTGCTGTGACAGTTCTTTAGCCCTCACTTAGCAGCCCTTTGGTAGAACTGACAGCACGCCTGCAAAGATAGGGAGGCCTGTTTCAGCCCCATTAATGTTGTCTTGAATGTGAGCCTGCGGTCTGGAGAAATGATAAATGTTCAGTGATTGATGATTTTATAGTCCCAAGGCACTTGGGATGGTTTCTGGTAGCTGTGAACAATTTTCCCTCCTCTCTTAATTAGGCCTGAGCTTTAGGTTTCTGAACAAGAAGTGACTAAGTGTGAATTGTAAGATAAGGTTTGCACAATATTTTTCACAACTTTGGCTACAAAGGAAGTACAATTTTGAGTGCCAGGTCTTTCAGGTTTTGTACAGAATAAGTGATTCTGTGTGCATTTGGTAACTCTGAAGGGCAAATGACATATTCATACCTGTATACGGAAAAGCTGATGGGATTTCAAAATGTCTTGAGAGCATTACGTAAGTGGGTTAATTAAAGAATATCTACATCCAAGAACTTCTTTGTTTTTGATCTCCTCCTTTCAATAAGCCAGTACTTCCTGACTGTGTAAGGGGCGCTCCAAGCCTGGTGAGCTGGCTGTGCTAATGGTAGAAAAATGCAAAAAAGTATTTCAGTGCGCGCTTGCAAATTGGGTGACAAAGTTGTTAATTTAATCGCTATATGGAAGTAAACCTTTTGTCAGTGGGCTATGCTGGTTAGTAATGTGATAGTGTCAAAATGCCTATTAATCTGTAACTTTAATACCAGGCTGCAAGAAGAAGTGGAATTTGTTCTTCTCATCTGCACCAACATTTTTTCTTAACATTAGTGACTCTTCCTGAACTTTTTACTGTCTTTTATTAATGCAAACAGAAAGCTTAGGAAAAAAAATTAGTTGCAAGTTCTTCAGACTAATTTTACTCTCTGTGGTTAGTGACTTTTAGCACTAAGAGGATTCAAATATCAAAATATCTCTGTATTATTCAATTTTTAGACATCTTGTCCATGAGGACACAGCTTATTAAGAAACTATGTGGTTTCTTTTTGATGGGGAGAAAGTAATATGTGGGCAGAGAGTAATTTCTGTGAGATAGACCTGAAAGCCAACTTTTGTGATTAATGACCAATTGTGACTCTGCACATTTAATTAGGAAAGTGTCATTACACTCAATTAGCAGGGCTGCCAAATAATCTGTTTAATACTCTGGTCTTTTTTTTCTCTAGGGTTTTGCAGACAGTCCTCATTACAGTGATCACTTGAATGACAGTCGATTAGGGCCTCATGAAGGATTGTCCCCGACACCTTTCATGAACTCAAATCTGATGGGTAAGTAGGTAATTCTTTACGAGTATCCCCTCAAAGCCTCTTTGGTCAGAAAGAGACATTTTTCATTCCCTTGTCTAGGCCTGACATGTCAAGCATCTGGAAGTTGCTCTGTTTCTCATAGCAACACTGACTTTCCTATTCAAATCTTTTCATGTTGGGTGAGTTCCTCAGAAAGGCTATTACCCAGGACTTTTTAGGAGAAGGAAATAGATTTTCTTAAGTTGATCTAGAAAGCTGATATATTTTGATTTGATGTAAATTCTAAATTATTTTAAAGGTTATTTTTCCTTATTTTTGTTTGAGAAGACATTTATACCAATTTTTTATTTGTGCATTTAAAGTTTTTTTCCCCCCAATATTCAGTTCTTGAACTACCTACCCATTTACTGTAGGCTTCCCTTCAGGTAATAATTTGAGGGCTTGCTTCTTATTTTTAATTTTCAAATTTCTTTGATATTTGTTGTATTAGAAACGCTGTCACTTCTAAGACATAGATGGAACCTCCTGCTTTAACATTTAAACTCTGTTTAACATTTTCTGCTTTTGAAACTGGAAAAAAAGCAAGCAAATGGTGTATTATATTGTGGCCTTTAAAACCCTTTTTTCATTGTCTGCACTTTATGTTACCTGAAACATGCTAATGTGTTGATGGCATTGGTTGAAAAATCTCCTTTTGTGGGTCCAGTTTGGAACATAAAACTGTTGATTTCAAAATATTTAATTTGGCAATACATGGTCTTGGGATCATTTTTGTTTCATATCTTCGATTTCAGGATGACTCTGAATATTTGTTCTGAATTTCTACATTTCACATTGTTTCACTTCTAAATTCCCCATCTTGTAGACATGACCTATTTTGTGATCTCAGTATTGTCCTTTTAAGACACAGCCATGGTAATCTAAGTGGATTACCTAAATCCAAATCCTGGTGGTCTGCAATTTCTTTTGGAAATCTTTCTACTTTGCTCAGTCTTTGTTTACTACTTTAATTTTCTCTGAAACAGAGACAGACAAAGCTCATCTATTGCTGATAACAATTTTTTGTTTAAAGAAAGCATTCTGTTTAAAATTCATATATGAAGCTGGAAACAGGCAATTTTAAGATGCCCATCTCTATAGACTTTGCTTAGAGAGAGGACATGCCAGTTGGTCAGTGACACTTCTTCTGGAGACAGCAAAGCTAAAATGTAGCAGTTATTTTGATAAAGCAGATTTTCCCTGAATACTCTTCAAATATGTTGTCTTCTTTCTTTTTTAGCAGAAAGCTAAAAACACAAGTTACTTCAATTGCTTCTCCAGTATTTTGATCAGTAGCATGTGTGGAATGTCTCTAGGCTTTGTAGCTGATACTGATTTTATTTTATAAGAGTATATATAGCAAAGTTTGATTTCTTTTTTAATTCATATTACCAGAGGCAAATTAATTGCTCGTGTTTTTAATTTAAGCCTTTCAATTTCTAAACAATATATGCCTTTAAATATATGAAAAAATAATTGGTGCAACTATATCTTCTTGGCTTTTCATTTTTATTGAACAGATGATTCTATTAGACATAATAGAATTACATCATTAATACAGATTTGAGAAGAAGCCTCCATTTAGATGGTCTTGTAGACAGGATTAACAAATAGCACGATATATATGTCAGTCACCCAAAGCTGCTGAGAACTGAAATAGTTTTGTAAAGCTGTGTGGCTAAGAGTTATTAGGATTTTATTTCCTTGGAGCAAAGGTACGTAATTTCCTTCTATATGTAGCCAAGAATTATAGAAAGCTTTCAGTATGTATCTCTAAGATATGTTCACATTAAAATTCTAAAAGTATGCTTTAAAAGTAGTCTGCTTGTGGCTTTTGGCTTGTCATAACAAAAAATTATGTTCATTTTACTTATGTTACTGTATTGGATACAGCTTTGTATATTACACCTTCACATCATTCATTTTTGCATTGTATTTTAATTGATGGTGAAAGTTTGAAGAGAAGAATGATAAAGGCTACATGAAAACATAGAGTACTACTTTTCTGTGTGGTACTACTATCTGTGTTTATAGTTTCTTTATTATTGAAAAGAAAAGTTATAATTATTCTAAAGTTTTTTAGACTAAAAGATGTTATATGCTTTTCATAATATTAAATTATGGACATGTTCCCACAAACAGAATGAACACATTTATTTCATTAGCTACTGTAGACATATGATATTTAAGGCATTGGTTCATTATTGTGGGATCTCTGGAGTTTAAAAGGAGATGGAGGGAGTCTAAGAACAGGAACTTGATGAGCTTATGGGAAATATCTCACTAGCTAATAGCAGTGATGGAGCATCTGGGGTTCCACAACCAAGATCTAAGATATACATCCCTTCCCAAAATTTTATCATGACTGAAATACATTTCTGAAATAGTTAAAAACTATTAAAGAAGAAGAAGAGAGAGCGACAACATATTTCACCATTGCTGTCAACACTTAAGAGTACCATTAAAAGAAAGAATTGTGTGTCAAGGGGATGTTGTTGTTTTGTGTATTATGTTCAGCCGTAAGCATATTTGCCTGAAGAGATAGTGGATTATAAAGTGCCTCTGTCTTTCATGATGGAGCTCTCAAACATTTTAATGATCTTGTACATTGCAAAAGAGAGAAATTTTGTCTAACAAGAGTTGATAATGATTCAATAATGAACAATTTACCACAGAAAGATGCATTTCCATATTCATTTAGATATTTTTTGAAGTGTTTTGCAGAGGAAGTAAAGCTATTATGCTGGATTGGTTAGTGTTCTTCACTAATGAATTCCAGAATTATCGTGTTGATTTGGTAGTATAAAAAAAGGAAGGGCCGTTACTTATATTTTGAGTAAAACCACTGAATCCTCTTGGGACCAGCATATCTGTTGGTATCCATAGAGATATGTAGAAAATCAGGCAAAGATATATTGGTGGTATTGTAGCTCCATTTAGACTTGGTAATCTTTGCTTATTCAACACTTCTCTTTTAATTACATTCTAGAAAACTATTCACAAGGATATGAGAATCTTTTCTCTGTAATTATGCTGCCTTTTAGTACTCTGCACTTGCAAGGAGAGGTCAGTTTTTGCTAGGACCCTTCAAGCATGTGGTATTGTATCGTCTGTTGTACTGTTCCTGGACTTTATTCTCCTGAGCTTTTTTACTACTACTTACTGGGAAGAAAGAAAGCAGATTATTCTTGAATATAGCTTAAAGGGGTTTTTGTTGGTCTGTCTTGAAAATTTGAAGTGGGTGAATTACTTTCTTTTGTGTGCCTGTCTTTCCACAAGAGGTAGAAAGGATAACAGCCAAACTTTTGTGCTCCATGTTCGTCGTCTGTGTACTGCACAGTTCCAGGTTGTATGTGACAAAAAGTCATTAAAAATATAGTCAATAGTGAGTGAAAAACAGTGGTTGATATCAGCTTACCGTGTTGAAATCAGTCCCTTGATGTAGGAAGAGAGATTATTCTTCCAAGTGTTCTTTCTAATATATTTCCTTGTTTTCTCATTATTTCTTTAACTATCTCCTTTAAAGTTTAATTTGGTTACATTTTAGGTGTTTCTGTTTCTGAGCTAGCAGCAGGGTTTGAAGACCAGAAATCATAGATTCTGAATGTATGAAATCAGAGGCTTTTAGATGATCTGCCTTATTTATTCAGTGACTCCAATAGATCAGCTGCAGGTTGCAGTTACTAGTTTAGTTCATGCCATCTGGTGATTTTGTAATGCTCACCTCTGTTAGCATCCTGGTGCCTTTGCTTCTCTTCCTAACAAGTTTCTGCTGGGTAATGCTGTGGTGCTTTCTTATGGCCAGCATTAAGAGATGGACGGACTGACCATGCAGAGAACTCAAGACACAGAGTTGGTATTTACAAGGTGGGAGTAGAAACTTGTTACAGTAATTAGAGCTATAAATTATTCAGATTGCTGATAAAAATATAGCTTCTTTTACTGTTTATAATGGTGAATGTAAAGGGTAAGTCTGATTTTTCTTATGTTTAAAATAAGTAGGGGAAAGAAGCAAAGTTAGTACTGGCAAAGGGAAATAGAGTAATACATTTCGGGGTTTTGCAGTGAACTTCTTTCCCATTAGCTGTACTTGATGCACTTGGGTGGTTTGTCATCAGGCATCACAAAACAGGGTTCCTGAATAAATGGCATCTACATACACCATGAATTTTACTTTCTCTTACTGTTTAGCAGACTTGTTCCAGTGCAGCAGGCATTAATAGGTGTCTGCTGGGTAGAAAGTATTGGGTGAAGGGTGGCAGGAGCAGAGAGGTGCTTCATGGGTGGAAGCCAAATTTTAAGAATTTTCAAAGGTAATTTTCAGGTTACTGTGAAACTCACAGTGGATTTCGTATATTAATAATGTCAACGAGAGATCAATATCTGAATTGGGGTACCTCCTGGTTTTAGAGCTACTATTCATTTAATTGACTTGATTGCCTGATTGTGCAGGTTTCTAAGAATGCCTGGGCTTCTGCCAGTGCACCTTTCAAAATGAAATTGCTGCCTTAATTTTTATTGTAAAATTTATTATTTGGCTTGTAATTTAAGCCTTCCAGGTAGCTTGGATAGAGTAGTAAGTATTTTTAAAGTTGAACACTGGAGGGACATTTTTTGAAGCAACATGGTAAATAGCTGAAGCCTCTGTAAACCTCCAGTACTGATACAGTTCTTGCACAGCTAATGTAAGTCTTTAAAACCATAATTTGTGAAAGGTTATTCTCAGTGAAAGGAGAGGCTTTTGAACTTTAAAATACAATTAAAAGAAGATGTACATCTGAATTGGTACTCAGTTAAGAATCTAACTAATCTTCAGGAAAATGGCTAGTTCGCTTCCTCAGTAACCCTTCAATAAAAGAATTTTGAAATTGAAGAGAGACATCTTGTTATCAAATGACTTTATAATGGTGAAGGCAATAGTAGCAAACCAGCAAGGGTAAATAGTTATTAAAATGGCACACATTAAGAATGATGCCATTATA